CTCTTGGGCAGGGGGTTGGACTAGATGACCTACAAGGTCCCTTCCAAGTCTGTTAATCTGTGAAATGGCATACGGTTTCCTGCTTTGGTGGGGGGGTTGGACTAGATGACCTACAAGGTCCCTTCCAACTCTGTAAACCTGTAAATCTGTAGATGGAAACCGACCAAGGAGAGAAGCAACCTGGAATTAAAGGGAGGCAGTTCCCAACAGTGAGGACAACTAACCAGCGGAATAGCTTGCCCCCAGAATTTGCGGGTGCTCCATCCCTGGAGGGTGTTTTTTTTTTTCCATGAAGGGGGCTGGTCTAGAAGACCTCCCAGGGTCCCTTCCAGCTCTTCTATTTCCCATTCCTTCTCCCGGACCAGCCCTCTCTCTCTCTTTTCCTTTCAGACGCCAGAATGTTCCTGGGCAAACCGGACGGGGAGCTGAGCGAGCTACGGAGAAGCGTGGACGACATCGGTGGCGGCACTCCGGAACAGCTGGAAGAGGAGCTATCCAAGAAGAAACACCGACGTAACCGGACCACGTTCACCACCTACCAGCTCCACGAGCTGGAGAGGGCCTTTGAGAAGACCCACTACCCCGACGTCTACAGCCGGGAAGAGTTGGCCATGAAGGTCAACCTGCCCGAGGTTCGAGTCCAGGTAAGCGAGATCCAGTTGGCTTTGGTTGGGCGGCAAACCAAACCAAACCAAAACAAGCCAGCTTTCGACCCGGGATTCTTGGGAGTGCCACGTTTAGAGGGTGCTCCATGTCAGCCCTTGGCCCCGAACGTTTCAGTCATTAAGCGAAACATTTGCCAAGGGAGCTTGGCCACCATTTTACGACCTCCCTTGCCACCGTTAAGTGAAGCACGGTGCTAAACTGGCCTTCCGGAAATACCGGAAGTGAAGAAATGGGCCTGTTTTTCGGCCTTCCGAGGCCGCCGAGGCTTCCTTCGAGCCTCCGGGAGGGCGAAAACGGCCTCAAACGGGCCAAAAATCAGCCAGGAGGCGCGCACATGCGCGGTGCAGGTAAAAGGGCAGGGCGGGGGTGTTGTGTGTGCATGTTCGGGGGGGGGGGCAGGGCACATTGCATTGTGGGTGCCAGCGCGCGCTTTCGGCACACTGCAACAAAAAGGTTCGCCATCACTGGACTAGATGAACGACATAGGCCGTTTCGATCAGCCTCCCAAACCGAGATGGAAATCTTCTGGCGTCAATAAAGGAGAATATTAGGAGCTCAGAGCTGAAATGGGGAGTCTTTGGTGCTCTCTAAGCCTGGTTCTCTCTAAACTAGGTTTGGGTAATGAAATGTCTGCAAGAAAACAATTAAGTTCCTCCTCCTCCTCCTCCTCCTCCTCCTCCTCCTCTCCCTGAAAACCCTTCTTGTACTGATGATGTTACCTAGTTTGGTAATGAAACATCTGCAAGAGAACAAGCAAGTTTATACAGTCCCAAGGATCCCACAGTCATCTCCTCCTCCTCCTCCTCCTCCTCCTCCTCCTCCTCCTCCTCTTCTTCTCTTTCTCCTTCTAGCACTGAAGTTACCTAGTTGGGTAACGAAACATCTTCAAGAAAACAAACAAGCTCACAGAGCACCAAGGATCGTATTGTCTCTTTTCTTCTTCTTCTTCTTCTTCTTCTTCTTCTTCTTCTTCTTCTTCTTCTTCTTCTTCTTCTTCTTCTTCTTCTTCTTCTTCTTCTTCTTCTTCTTCTTCTTCTTCTTCTTCTTCTTCTTCTTTTCTTCTCTTTTCTTTTTCTTCTTCTTCTCCCTCCTCCTCTTTCCTCCTCCTCCTCCTCTTCTCCTCCTCCTCCTCCTCCCCCCCTCCT